TTTTTTTTTTCTGTCTTTTTTTGGTCGCCTGGGGCCTGGACCCACTAGCGAAGTATTCTACCACGTGTGACACAGTTTTATGGTGAAATGGACAGGAGGGGACAGGAGGTCACCATTTGTGAACTGGACAGGGACGACGTGGTTGGCCAAATGCATTCATTGCCCAAAGAAGGAAACGAGTTTGATGCCAGACAGCCAAACACAGCTGTCAGAGTTCCTCCGTTTCAGGATGCAATGAGGTCTGAAAAATCTAAAAAAAGGAAAGGCACTGAAGTTGAGAAGGTACCGTTAGATTCGCAACACATCAACGGCAGAGCTCCGTCCCACCATGCCACACGTGATAGAAAGCTCAGCGTGGGACTAGAGGGGTCTAGTCCCACCCACAGCGTTGAGTTTTCTCAACGCTGAGCTTTCACCCTGTCCCCTCCTAGTTCCTTCAAGTCCAGGGTGTTGTAGAGGACAGTCAATGAGTGCACAGCGATCACCTGGAACTGGGTGTCCTTTAGAGACCCAATCTCAACCCATCCTCTCGTCATACTCCTAGCGCACCCCCTGTCCCACTATCCTACCTCAGTGTAACCAGCACTCAGGACAGTTGCCCTGCCCACGAGCAGGCAACTTGGACCGAACAGCAGTGATAGGCACAGTCACACGCAGACAGACACACAGCAGTGATAGCCTGATAGGCACAGTCACAGGCAGTCACACGCAATCACACGCAGTCGCACGCAGTCACACGCAGTCACACACACACTCATACCAACCAGCACACAGACAGGCAGAGTCACACGCACGCAAGCCAACCAGCACTCAGACAGACATGCAGTCCAGCAAGCACACAAACACACAGACTTAGCAGGCACACACTCATACCAACCAGCACACAGACAGGCACAGTCACACGCATGCAAGCCAACCAGCACTCAGACAGACATGCAGTCCAGCAACCAACATATCAACAAAAAAATAAAACAAAGTAAACTGCATGCCAGCTCAGCAGGGCAGACAGCTGCATTCGAAACAAAGCAAAGGGAAGAGCCCATAGGCATAGATCAGGGCAGACTCACAGTAGGAATGTATCTGACCGAAATTACGGTCAGACCTGGATGAATCTGACAGCGATCACGTCCAGAGCTTAGTAGAACAAGAGTTCCAGTATGCCCTCAGTTGGTACACCGAGGAACTCTTGAAATACAGCCCTAAGTTCGAATCCATATCCCATAGACAGGCAGGCTGCAATGATGAGGGCTGCCTGCCTGCCTTTCCTTTTTGTCACACGTGTTGCTGGTACCGGTACCATGTCCCGCGTGCTTGAATCTGCGGTCACTGTAGATGTCAGGCTCCCACAAATGCACTTTCTGGTTCGACAACTTAGCCTCCGATGGACTGGTGGTTTAAACCCCCAGTCACACGCAGTCACACACACACTCGTACCAACCAGCACACAGACAGGCACAGTCACACGCAGTCACACACACACTCATACCAACCAGCACACAGATAGGCACAGTCACACGCACTCAAGCCAGCCAGCCCTCAGACAGACATGCAGTCCAGCAAGCACACACACACACAGACTTAGCAGGTGGGAACTCAGTTGGTATTCAGTCTACGAGCAGTCACACCCAACTGATCTCTCTCTCTCTCTCTCTCTCTCTCTCTCTCTCTCTCTCTCTCTCTCTCTCTCTCTCTCT